GACGCAGGCTTCCTGAACACTCTGACAGCAGCTTGCTACAATGTTCTCACAAGAAACCTCTGATTGACTTATCCTATTAAGTTCCCAAAAAAAATCAATAGAAACAAAAGAGAGAGAAAAAACGCAGGTACCCAGATGAGGAAACCAGATGTAGAGTACCTTGGGACAGCATTTTCCACAGTTAGAGCAGCGGATGAACTTGACATGGCCACGGCCGTGCTTGTTGCGACCACCATTCCTACGCTTGAAAGTCTAAAAAAACAATCAAAGAGATCAAAATTGTGAAAAAAAATTGAATTGTTTTAATACACAGATGCTGAAAATACAGATGAAACGAAATCTAACCATGGTATGAGATCAAAGTGTAGGCTCTCTGCTTCTGCCAGCTGGGAAGAATAGGATTTTGGGCAAAAATGTTGCCTTTATGGACGAGTATCTCTAATGAAGTCTGAAACCCTAATTTTCTTTTAGACTTTTGTACTTTTCTTGTTCTCAATTTTCCCCCAAAAGTTTGATAGAATTACATTTTATTGACCTAATTTTAGTTTTAAGGTTTCCTGATCGAATTTACATTTAGGCTATTTGAATTTGAATCATTTTAAATTGTCGTTGTTTATGTTTCTTAGTTACATTAATTGAAATGAATTAATCGAGAATTCATCAACTTTCATTAATTGAAATGAATTAATCAAGAATTCATCAACTGTCTTTAGTGGTAAAAAAGAATATTCTTCTCCATAGAGAATTCATATTTAATCAACTATATCTACATGATCCATACACGTTATTAATTGATTAATTAAATATTCAACAAATACTAAAAAGTTTAAAAAAAGTACATGAGCTTCTTCATCCCTAAACTTTACATTATACTTGATTTAAATTCAAATCATATTGAATTCGAGTCATTATTCAATCTGAATTCAGACTATTTCGAATTATAAACCTATATACCATCTCTTAAGAATGACTTCATGAACTAATTGAATTAAATTTTGGACTCGGATTCATTTAAATAATAATTATAACAGATAATACAATGGTTGCAGCTGGTCCAAGATGATACTGCATTGCCCTACTACACCCTATAGATCAAAACTATAATCCCACACCCATTGCTCCAAAACAAATGAATTTGAATCCCGCAAGGAAAGAATCTTGAATATCTTTAATACCTAGCAAAGCTACTGCAAAACTCAAATCCCAGGAAACGAAACCGTTAAAAGAATCGAATTTGATTGGATTACACCTCTCAATGTCAAGAATGTCAGCCTATGAACACTTCAACAAATAGGGCAGGAGAACGTGCAGACAAGAAAATTTCCATATCATAATGTTCCACTGCTTTCACTGGCGGAAATCGATGAGCCATCGGATTTCACAGAGTGGGAATCCCTGCTATTGATATCAAGCCCTTGCAATTGGCCAAGAGGATCCTGTTGCATCATATCGGAAAACAAATGTGAATATGAGGCACCTACCACGGGCTGACTAGTTGTAAATGTATTAGATTGGAAGGGATGAAACGGTGGCATTTGTATATTCTGGATGTCGATTTGTATATTCTGTGGCTGGGGAGGAAAGAAGGAAGATTGTGTGTATGGTATATTGTGCATTCCCAAATTGAAGGCATCCGTGGGTGTTGTTTCTTCGCCAGTGGCAATCTTGAGCGTCTCTACTTCCTTCTTCAGTTGTTCACTGAAAGCTGTAGTCAGGAGCAAACAATGAGAAAAACTATATCCAGTTAACAACTCTTCGCAATAGTTTTCTGAGTGAAATAACCGGGGACATGATACAAACACGACTAAATATCTTCATGCAACAATAATTAATGTCACCCACAGTTTGAGCACTAAAATTAATGCCAAGAACACTACTTAGAAAAAGGCATCCCTGGTTTAAAACTAGTGTCGATGCCGGTTTGTATTGTATCCTATCATTGAGTAAATAAGGTATAACAAACTGCTTCAATTGAGTAGCTATACATTTTATGAAAGCAGGCGTCTTAGAGAGAATTGGGTAAATTAGTCAGGATAGAACATACCGTCACGTAGCCAAGCCTGTTGTTCCATAGCCTGTAGCTGAAGCTTAAGCTCAGTGTTCTCCGTAGTCAAGCTAGTCACATCTCTCTGGAATTGAACATAGACTATTAAAACTCAGATTTGAACTAGAACCCCAATTGCAAAAAAGCAATTTATAGATTAAAAAGTAGAATTTCCAATGTATTGATTGCTCATGAGGTTGATAGACGATAAACGTAAATGTATTTTGTATCAAACCTGAGAGGTGTATGCATACTTTTCACTTGATTGTTTAAAATGTAGATATGATATTTCTGTATGAAGGAACACAAATAGCAACCACAAACAGGCTCTAGAATGGGGCAATGAGAGAGGTAAGTGTTCGAGAAAGACCTGGAATAGGGTTAGTTGTGCAGAAAGAGTAGTTGCTTCTGTTTGAAGTGTTTGAATTTTTCTCTCCAGTTCAGACATATATCGAGCTTTCCTCTCTTTAGAGCGAGCAGCGGACTGCCTATTTGCAATGATCCTACAAAATTTATGTAGTTCTTAGTGGCAAACCTCAATGGAAACCCAATAAAATTGACATCAATTAGATATCATAAAACATTCATACATTTTATCGATTAGATCATAAAACTTTGTATAATTGATATCAATTAGATCATAAAAAAAATTATACATTTTCATGAATTCTAGTAAGTACAAACAATCGTTTTCTTTTAAATTCTTTAACAAAAAGCTATTACTTTCTTCTAATAACTTCACCTGATAATCTATAGGAAAAAAACAAAAACACAAACTTCACACTAAAAGTCACAAAGCTTCAAACTCTTCTCTACCACAGTACCAATTCATAATAATCCCAAAACACAAATTCACTTTTAAAAATTAAAAAAAAAAACAAACCCAAAAAGGTTGGAGGAAAAGAAATGTAAGCAATTCCCAAACCTTTTGGCTCTCTTTGGATCAACAGTCCACAATTCAGCAAGCTGATCAGAAGACATAGCTTTCTTAGCTTCAATCAACTCCATTGTGAAGCACTCATCGACTGAATTACTATACCTATGTCTTCCTTTCCCATGATTCTTCTTCTCTCCTTTCCCCGATCCACCACTGCTCATTTCCTCTCCCTTCTGATTCTGAACCGACCCACCACTCGAAGACCCAACGGCCCCTATTTCGTCCGCCCCCTTCGATGATCCCCCGAACTTCTCAATATCCAGGTAACTACATAACAATTCGTTCTCGGATACCAACCCTTCGAACGTGTCGGACCCGAGATCCAATTCGTCCGGGATCCGGAATTGGACCTCGGAATGGGCTCGCCTGTGGTGAGTGCCACGGAATGGGGTTGTGTTGTTGGGGAAAGACGACGACGTTTGGGTGGTGGATGATGCATCGGAAGGAATGGGTGGTTCCAGGTTCGGGATTAAATTTGGTGGATCCTGCATTTTTTGATTCAGATCTTAGAAGATAAAACGCGAGGGAAATGAGAGCCTTCTTCTCTTGTTTTATTCCCAAGAAAATAAATGGAGGGCAGACGATAAAGTTTCTGAAACGATGTCGTTTACTTATTTTGCACAAGAAAAATAACTTTATTTTGGAGTTAATTGCACCACCCGAACTCAAACTATAACCCTTGTTCTAAATTGGTTCTTAAACTTTTAAATATTTTAATTTTATCAATAAACTATGACCCTCGTTCTAAATTGGTCGTCAAAGTTTTAAACATTTTAATTTCATCCTAAAAGTATGACCTTTATTCTAAATTGGTCCCCAAACTTTTGAGCATTTCAATTTTATCCCAAACTATATCTTTATGTTAATCACATCTCATGCTAATAAAATCTTTAGGCCAAGTTATATTTTTATATGTTTTAAAAAAATATGTTAAACTATAATTGAAACTAATTATATATTTGGATGTATTGGGGGATGTAATTGGAAGATTTAAAAGATTGGGTACTAATTTTGAATGTGATTCATAATTTGCTAATTTAAAATTAGATTCGTAATTTGAAGATAAAATTGGAATAATAAAAAAATTGAGGATCAATTTTAAAAAATCATATGTTAAGGACAAGCATTGCAATTAACTTTTAATATTTTATAAAGTACGAACTGAATTAAAATTTTAGGAATCGAGACATGTTCGAAGAGGGTGAAAATGTGAAATAATTATTATAGTCGAAATGGGTCAAAATAAGATGAAAAACACTAAAATTTAAGTCGAGATTAAAACACTCGAAAAATCCATGTCCCAAATTCGAAATAGTAGTCAACAATTTAGAGTGTTCCTAGCATATGTTAGAAAATTTACATGTGATTAACCTGAGGTAAGTACAAGATAATATTTGTTTAAAAATAACTCTCAATCATTTGACATTGAACACTTACACTCTGACATTCATGGTGCTCGAATTCGGTACCTCAAAAAATAACATCAATTCTTTTACAACGAAAATTGCTTTATTCTTGCAACATAATTTGAATTTGAGTGACTAAAATGAACAATTTTTTAATTATTGTCCACGTCAGCTAATTGAACCCGAAGATGAGTGATCCAAACGTATCACAATGGTGCGATTGCCCCTATACAAGTTGGGTGTTTATCGATCGAGTCGATCACAAGTTAGACAATATTCGATTCGTGCTTATTAAAAGATTTTATTGCTCAACTCGATTCGTTGCTCGTTAAACTCGTTAAATTTTTGTTCGGCTTGTGCTCATTAAAAAAACTTGTTGCTCGACTCGTTGCTCATCAAGCTCACTAAAATTTTTATCTTATTTTCTTAATTATAGGTAAAATCTACTAATACTATACAAAGATTAATATAAAACATAAATTAATAAATTTAACCAAAAATATTATAAAAATAGTGTACAAAACAAAATCAAAGTCTAAATTGTAAAGTAACAATCCACAAATACATTAAAATAATAAATATGGTTTGGCTTTTGAGTGTAGTAAAATACTAATTAATAATTTAGTAATTTTTTGTTGTTTATTAAAAAATTACTAGATTAACAATTCATCATCTTTTTTATTATCTATTAGAAATTAATATTTTTTAATGAAATATTTTTTTAGTAATTCTTTTTTAAGATAACTACTAAAAAATTTATATAAAAAAATTAACGAGGTGTTCATGAACTTATCTAGTCGAGTTAAATTTTATTCAAATCAACTTATTAAGGTCTCGAGTTAAACTTAATTTCGAGTTTAATTTTAACAAAATCGACTTTAAACTGCTAACTAACGAACTTATTAACTCATTAAGCATCTTACCTAGAAGTACATAGAACGGAGTTCAAGGCTTCCGCGAGTGCAGTTTTTTTTTTGGGAAAAAGTCAGTGAGTGCACTTGAAATCAATTAAAAGTGATAATTATTCTTTTACCCTTTAATTTATTTATTTTAATTCATATTTCTTGTTTGATTTTTATTTTGAATATAAATAAAATTTTAATTATTATTTAATATAAATATTTTTAACATGAGTATAAATTTAATACCTTTAATTTTAATTTAATAAAATATAATTTTATTGAATTTTATATTATTGAATTTAAATATTTTATGATGCTTTTTTACATATTTACATTTGAAATAAATGTCTTTTCTTGGTCTTTTTACCTTTTTATTCTCGATATTATCATAAGAATAATATCCATTTTATATTTAAGAACTATCTAATTAATAAACTTTTGTTACGAGATTCTCAAATCTCATATTAATTATATAGTTTTTCAATTGTTTAAATATATTTTTCTAAACATACATTTATTAAGCGGTTGAAAATAAGATTTATGCATGTGTATCGTTGTTGCCCACTTGTGCTCGTGCAAATACGAATTGATTTTCTTCTTTTTACATTTTTAACTCATTATTCTCATTTCTTTTATTATAGTCATAAAAGACGTTAACGTTGGAGACGCCGCTCAAAAAAACTATCATGTCGACAAAAAGTACGTCTTACAAATTACGGCGTTTAAGAAATACTCCTACGTGACACGTCTTTTCCAAAAGGGTGTTATTTTCCTAAATAAAATTATTTAGGTACAATTTGACTAAATAAATATAAAATCGATATATTGCCATCAATTAGCCTATATTCTCACATACTATATTACCTTTGAATCCAATCACACATTTCACAATTGATTTTATACTCACCACTATAAAAGCCAATCTAAATTTAATTTTTTTTTAATAATCTAAGGTAATTGTAAGATAATATATATTCAAAACATTTTTAATCTATTGATAGCATACGCATACCCTGCAGACATAACCACTCAAATCCATGATCTTTCTAGAGAATAACATTACCTTTTACCATTGAGGCCACTTGATAGGTTCAAAAAATATTTAATTTTAATTATATATATATATATATATATATATATATGAGTTAATTATATCATATGTTTCCAAATTATAACCCTTATTTTATATTGGTCCTTAAACTTTTAAATATTCTAATTTTGTCCCTAAATAATGGTCCTCTCTAAATTAAACCCTAAACTTTTAAATATTCCAATTTCATTCCCAAATTAATCAAAATATGTAATCAGATCATATTTTAACCTAAATTTAATTTTTTAAAATATAATAATATAAATTGGCCTAACGATTTTATATTAACAAGAGATGTTATTAGTATTTACATGTAGTTTGAGGACCAATTTAGAATAAAAGTCATAGTTTGGGTATGAATTAAAATATTTAAAAGTTTGAAGATTAATTTAGAGTGATAATCCTATTTAGTAATAAAATTAAAATATTTAAAAGTTTAAGGAATAATTTGAAACGAAGGGCATTCTTTAAGAATATGTGATGCAATTAACCCTCTACATATAAATAAGGACGGGATCACAAGACCGGTTCGAGACGAAAGATGATGAATTCAAAGTTAGAAGCTCATAGTTTGTCTTGTTTGGATTTGTAGTTATTATAGAAAGACAGTTGATTGATGTCCATCGTGAATGCCGTCCAATACAATCGACAAAATCACAACCATTTCTTTAAATATTACGACCGAAATGCGTGGTGTGCGTTGAACCAGTCCACCAAGCTAAGGTCCAAATAATCTGATCGGATGTCAGATGCGAATATATATTGAGTATAAATATATTCAAATATAGTAGAATTTAAAAATAATCACTAAACTATTTTAAAATATGTTTTTGACACTGAACTTTTAAAAATTACAAAACAAATATTAAACTTGTGATTTGTTATAAAATAGACATTGTGCCATTAGATGTAGTTTACAATAGTTAAGGAGATGTCGTGGCACATCAAATCAATAAGTAATATCTCGTTTAACACCGAGGTTTTATTTCACTTCATTTGAAATTTTAAGAAAACTAAAGTATTACAGTGATAAAAAGTTTTCTCCAAATATTAATTGAATTCAGATCGATTGATATTGTCGTTAGTACAAGACACATGAGTACATGGAATCAAACATGCTTACACGCTCAATGTCCTCATATTTATGGGTGGAAAGAGGTTTGGATAATATAGACATTATATTCAATTATTCAAATTTTTTCAAAATTGAACATAATAAAATTGTTATCACACCACAGTAAACAACATTAATTAGTTACTCTGTCTAATGATATTATAAAAATAAAGGGACTAGATCTAAACATGGACAAATTCAGATGAAGATATCAATCCTAAATTTGTCCATAATAAAGTGGACCAAAACCAAATTCGACCACGAAAAAAATATTCTAATTTTATCCCCAAACTATTACTCTTGTTCTAAATTGATCCCCCAAACTTTTGAACATTCCAAATTCATCCTATCTATGACCCTCATTCTAAATTAGTCCCAAACTTTTTTAACGATCCAATAATGTCCTCTAAAATCATTCAAAATTTTGGGGATGAAATTGAAACATTCAAAAGTTTATGGACAAATATAGAATGATGGTCATATTTTGGGGATAAATTTGGAATGTTCAAAAGTTTGTGGATTGATATAAAATAAAAGTTAGTTTTGAGATGAAATTAAATGCTCAAAGTTTAAGGATCAATTTATAATATGAGTCATAGTTTAGGGATGTAAAGTGCAGTTAACTCAAATTTCCATGATAAAACAAAAACATTTCAAACTAAAACACGGTTTCAGAAGTGAAATCTGATAAAGACATTTTCAAAAGACACTGGTGTTGTGTTTTTTTCTTTCTTTATAAATGGCTATATCTTATCTTTAAAACACCCTAAGCAACCTACCAACAATGGATATCTTGTCCTCCATTACAGACCCTTTCTCCAGCTTCAACCCACAGTTCATCTCCACAATCCTGGGAGCTTCATTAGCTCTTATCATCATCTTCTTCAAATTCATAGTCTCACCACCCGCGGCCAGAAAGCTTGCGCCCGGTTCACTAGGGTATCCACTCATTGGAGAGACGATAAGCTTTGTGAAGGCACAAAAGCAAGACCAGACCCAACGATGGATCCTGAGCCGTGTCGAGAAATACGGACCGGTGTTCAAGACCTCGATCCTGGGGTCGAAATTGGTTGTCGTGACTGGTCGAGCCGGGAACAGGTTCGTGTTCGGTGGCGGGGATAACGGTCTCTCGTTCAATCAACCGGCGTCGGTGGTGAAAGTGCTTGGGAAGAATAGTCTGTTTGAGATGTCCGGATCGAGACATAAGCTTGTTAGGGGTGCAATTGTTGGCTTTTTGAGACCTGAAAGCATTCAACGGTTTGCTGCTAAAATGGATTCATTGGTGCAGCAGCAGTTGCTCAAGGTATTGATCTAGTGCCAATTGTTTATTTGTTTAATGTAATCGTGAGCTCGAACACGAGTTTCTCTCTCGAGTTCGACTCTAGTTTATATCCGAGCTCGATTGAGTATTGTTATCGAAGTTTAAGTATGAACTTAAAATAAAATTGAGTTTGAATTTGAGTTGTTGAATATTTATGATTCGAGTCGAATATAATTCGGATTTCGTTAATAATTCTGTCTCTTACACGGTTAATCTCTTGTAATAAACAGGAACTTCACGGCAAGGATTCAACAGAAATTGTGCCATTAATGAAGAAGATTACATTCAACGTAACCTGCAGCATATTGTTCGGATTACCAGACGGAAATGAGAAAGACGAACTGTTAAAGGACTTCGCGCTCACGGTGAAAGGAGTGTGGGGAATCCCTTTGGAATTCCCAGGCACAGTGTTCCACCAAGCAATGCAAGCACGTAGAAGGCTCTGCAAAAAGCTCTCAGAAATGGTGATGTCGAGGAAGAAACAAGAAGATGAAGGCGCTGTTGAACCGACGGACGACAACATCGTATCTTGTCTCCTCGCTTTGAGAGACGAAAACGGACAGCCTTTGTCGAAAGATGAGATCGTTGATGTCTTCCTTTCGTTGATCATGGCTAGCCATGATACTACTGCTGTTCTGTTGACCCTCTTCATCAGACATCTTTCTAGGGATGCAGAGGTTTCAAACAAGGTGCTTCAAGGTATCTATCTCTATCTATCTATATAGTTTTTCCGGATTCGGATCTTTTCGAGCCGATAATTTTTCTGGAACATTGTCTTGGAACTGTCATTTCTATTGTTGTGTAGAGCAAAATGAAGTTGTTAAAGCCATTAAAAGAAATGGTGGGAAGCTCACATGGAGTGAAATAAAGATGATGAGATATACATGGAGAGCAGCTGAAGAACTCATGAGGGTCAATCCCCCAATGCTTGGCAGTTTCAGGCTTGTAACCAAAGACATTACCTTTGGTGGCTACCACATTCCCAAAGGATGGCAGGTAAATAGTCCCCTCGAATTCGAACTGAACTCGGGTTTCGAATCTCTCCTTCCCTTGCTTACTGTTTTGGTACAGATATTTTGGGTGGCACCAGGCACTCACATGGACAGCAACATATTCCAGGATCCAGAGAAGTTCGATCCATCAAGATTCGAGGGCTCGTCGAAAGAGTTCCCTCCGTACACTTACGTCCCGTTTGGAGCAGGGCCTCGAGTTTGTGCCGGAATCGAATTCGCTAGAGTTGAATCATTGCTGATTATTCATCATCTTGTGACAAAGTATAGTTGGACAGAGATGGTCCCTGATGAGCCTATTATCCGTTCACCAATGCCATACCCTGCCATGGGACTTCCTGTCAAGCTTTATCCAAAAAACTGATATGTACAAAATTGGTGGGCTGAGATTTATTGTATGTACGTATACATGCATATATGTTTGTATGTATTTATGCATACATGCATGCATGTAAGAACATAAAATTGTTACTGTATATATTAAGAAACGAGCCCCATGTGCAGAGTTGAATATGAGAATTCCAATATCTTGGGACCAATATTCTTTTAAGAATATCACTTTTGGTTCACTAACCTAAAATAAAGTCAAGCCAAGCTCGAAATCCAAACGGTGAACTTTTGGTTGACTGACTACCCTAAAATCGAGCCTATGTCGAGCTCGAAAAGCGAACAGTGAACTTTTGGTTGACTACCCTAAAATCGAGTCTAAGTCGATATCAAAACCCCAACGGTATACTTTTGGTTAACTACCCTAAAATCGAGTCTATGTCAAGCTCGAAACCCAAAAGGTGCACATGTTTCAAGTCTTTGACATGAAGATGAACAAGTCCAAAAGGTACATATCACAGTACATTAGCTGATACATTATATCATAACCTAATGCTAACAATAGACAATGCTGATGAACAAAAAAATGCGGAACAGTGAAGATTAGTTAACTAGGCTACAATATCCAAAGGGGTCCCGGAAATGGAAACCGGTGAAAAGGAATCCGGAAAATGGAAACAAATACAATTAGGGCAAACAAATATTTCTTCTCTTTGATGAAATGAACAAACCGGATTCTTCTTCGCCGGATAACCCCTTCATAAGTCTTTCAATTTCTTAAGGTATTAGTTAAACTCATCCCGAATCTTCTTGGCCTTCTGAAGGGCATCTGATCAATTCCAGTATCTTAATTACCTCTCCCATATACGGTCGATTTGATGGTACTTGTGACGTGCAGATTAAGCCTAGTTTCATAACTGGAATCGCTTCCTCTACTGGGAATTTCCCTTGCAGCCTTCCATCGACGCATTCTTCCACCCTGCCTTCTTCCAACGCTCCCCGGACCATGTCACAGAGCACCACTACGTCGTCTTCCATGTACTCAACAGGTCTCTTCCCGGTAACCACTTCCATGACCAAAACACCAAATCCATACACATCACATTTCTCGGTTATTTTCACTGTTCGGCAGGCAAACTCAGGTGCCATGTAGCCAAGTGCACTTTGGATTTTGCTGCTTAAAACGTAACGGTCTAGCATAGGCAACAACCTTGCTAGGCCAAAATCTCCCAATTTAGGTTCACCCGAACCGTCTATAAGGACATTGCTTGACTTTATATTGTAGTGAATAATGTTCAATTGGTGCAAGTGAGCCAAGCTTTTCGCTGTCCCTAGAATTATACGGAATCTGTCATGCCAAGAAAGGTAATTTCCACTCGATCCTTCGTGGAGATGTTTGTGCAGACTTCCACCAGACACAAATTCAGAAATGAGAAGTTGCAATGATGGAGTCCAATAATAGCCCTCGAGTGCCACGAGATTAGGGTGACTTATTTTCCCTAGTTTCTTAACTTCCCTTTTGAATTCTTCTTGTGACTTCACAAGACTTGAGACAGTGAGCTTCTTGATTGCTACTGTGCGCCCATCTTGCAAAACTGTTCGGTAAACTGCTCCAAACCCGCCACGCCCAAGCTCACAGTCCTTGTTGAGCAAAGCATGTGCTCCTGTACTAATGTCAGGCTCACCAGAGAACATGACTAGTTTCCCGGAGTTGGCATCTGTAGTAGGGGAACGGCTAAACTCCTCCCCAGCAGAAAATGTGAGGGGTGCTGCAGACCGGGATGTCGATGACTTGACACGGAGATTAAGAACGGTGATGGCAATGACTCCAACAACAATGAAAGCAGCAGCACCAATAGCAATGAGGGCAGAGATACTAAGAACTATCCTTTTATGACCAACATTCGGAGGTAATTCACCAGAAATGGAATCAGCAGTGGTGTTAGGATTTAGGACAATGGGTTTCGGAAGAACTGCAGGGCATGATTTGTTGACTGCAGAGCCACAGAGTAAGGGATTGCCAGAGACAGCTGTAGGTGATATGGTGTTGAAAAATATACCAGCAGGTAGCTCTCCTCGTAAATTGTTGTGGGAAATGTTGAAAGATAAGAGATGGGGAAGATTGGCCAACTGCTTCGGCAACGTCCCCGTAAGGCTGTTGAAAGACAAGTCCACGTTTTCTAGGTTGCTCAGTTTTCCGATTTCGGCTGGTATTGGGCTACTCAGCTTGTTGTGTGATATGATCCTATACAATTCAACAACAAAAGGAAGTCCTATGTTAACCAGCACACTACGATTAAGCAACCAAATTTTTGCTTAGATGTGTCGTCAAGAAAATACATAGAAAAGTTAAGATACCATTGCAGAAAAAGCCTTAAACATGTTTTCCACATCACAAATCGACACAAATGCAACAGAGAAATCCAGATAACATGGGATGTTACAAATTTAAAAGTAATTTTTTCAATGAAAAATTATACAAACTCATACAACCTTTGAGCAAATAGATTAAAATTCAAATATCAAGAGATTACCTTAGAAAAGTGCAGTTCTCAATTGATGTAGGAATTTTTCCGTTTAGGATATTGGCATTGAGCCTAAGATCCTTAAGGGAGCAAGCTCCTCCAATTTCCGTAGGAATGCTTCCATTAAGCTGATTTCGACTTAAGTCAAGAACATCCAAGGCCGTCAACTCTCCAATAGTTCCTGGAATAGGTCCAACGAGAGAGTTCCTTGACAGGTTCAACAACTTCAAGCTGCTTAAAGCCCCGGTATCAAAACTTAATACCCCGGAAAATAAATTCTGAGATAAATCCAATACTTGAATTTTTTGAAGGGAGGGCCCTAATGAAATTGAATTGACATTATCCATATTTGCACCAACCTTATTCTCCGAATTAAAAATCCATCCGGGAAGTTCACCGGTCATCAAGTTCTGGCTAAAATTCAATGCCAAAAGATCCACATTGTTCTCCATCGATGCAGGTAGGCTTTCAATTAAACCGTTAGCAGAGAAATTCAACACCTTCAAGGATTTCAGTTTTCCTATAGAATCAGGAACTTGACCAGAAAAGTTATTCACTGATAAATCCAATGACTCAAGACTTTCCATCTCTCCGAACCATTCCGGAAAGTCACCAGAAAATGAATTCATACTCAAATTCAGATAACTACACAAGCTAAGCTTCTGCATTGTTTGAGGAACCGGCCCAGAGAACGAATTCCAACTAAAATCAATTGATCTCAACAGCAAACGACTTCCAATCTCATCAGGTACCTGCCCAGAAAACTTGTTTTTGCTCAAATTAATGGATCTTAAATTATTCAAAGCTTGAACCCCTTTTGGAATTTCTCCTTCCAACATGTTACCAGAAAAATCCAATGACCTCAAACCATTCAAACCCCAAATCAGACAAGTCAATATTAACCAGTGTAGCACAAGACCCTAAAGTCCCAGGAATCTTATCAGAAAATATGTTATTAGCTAAATAAACAGACTTCAAAGCTCCACATTGTTTAAAGGAATCATCAGGGATAAAACCAGAAACAGAATTCTCACTCAAGTCAATGATTCTGAGACTTTCAAGATTTACCAAGCTAGGACTAATGGTTCCACTGAGGTTGTTCTTGGCTAAAGAAAGCTTCCTCAAGAACTTGAGCTGCAAGAGGCCACGCCCGACCCGACCCGAAAGAGAGAACCCGTCGAGGAGCTCAGTGACCCGGTTCAACCTCGGGTTACACTTGACACCGTTCCAGTTGCAAGGAGTGTCATCGTCTTCCTTCCAAGTGGAAAGCTTCAGGGTTGGATCTTGAATGTCTGCTTTGAAAACTATTAGCCCCAAAACATCATCGTTCAATGATGGGGTTAAAGTTAGAGATCTCACTTGGAAAGAAGCAACAGCTAAAAGAAGAGAAAACAAAAGGAAAGTATAGAGCTTTTCCATCTTCATCTTCTTGTGTCCTCTTTCAGCACTTCAAAAACTCCATTCTTTTTTCACTCAGCTTCAAACAAAAGGCGGAGAGAGCTGAAAAGCTAAACTCGAAGCAAAGAATCTTTCGCGAAAGTGAAGTAGAGAGGAAACAAATAGAACCCAGAAGAGAAACGAGAAACCAACTTCAAAAAAAAGCTAAGAACTTTTTTCAAGTTAGACAACAAGAGGAATGGAGCTTGTGAACTGAAAAGCAGAGAGGGGAGACGTGTTTAGTTTCTTTAAAATATCAACATTTGAAGGGGGGGAAACCCAATACTAAGAGAACCACAGCCGGTAGGGTTCCGGTGAGAGTCACCGCCGGAGGAATGAAGTGAAGGGAAGAGAGAGAAATAGAAAGAGCGAAGTGAATATTGGAAGCTTTGTTTGGAGGTAATTGTAAGCTTCTCTTGGGTTTTGTTCCTAATAACAAAAATTAAATAACGGGAAAGAGAAGATGGACTTTGGGAAATTCGGTTAAATTCTATAAGGAGTCCCTTTACTATATCTTTTTGAAACAATTTAGTCACTCTATTATAATTTTATCATTCTTAGGGATGCACTTTGAAACAATTTAAGACCTAAATTCAACGGGTTTTGAGCTGATATAAGATCGAATTTATTTTTAAAAAATAAGCTTCGATTCAGGTTGGTTTTTCTAAAGAATAAGATCAGATTATATCCGAGTTTATAATAAAAAATTTTGACCCGACCCAAGATAATAATATAACTATCGATTGTTTAGAGATAATTATAATAATATCCTTATGTTAATATTTTTTTTCAATTAAATTCTTATTTTATTGAAAAATACTTTTTAAAATATACTCATATTAAATTTAATGTTATATTTTACCTAAACATTAGGTCAGATTTCGGATCAAATAAAACCTTTCCAAACTTAAATCGAATTCTAGTAAAGACTTACCATTGAAGCACGAAGGCACGCATTAAAAGTTTTATTAAAGAAACACTCGCGCATAGAAAGTAAGACATATAACCATGTTCCTCGGTTTATGTTTTGTTGTGGTAAAAAGACGAGCGTCTAGAACATTAAAATGGTAAATTTGCATGGACCACCACCAAGCTTCAGCTCCTATGATCTCCGGTTGGACCATGCAGGATCAC